ATCAAAGTGACTTAAATGTTTGGAGTCTCAGTTTTCCTACCTATAAAATGGGATAATAATTACCAACCGCACTGGGATTATCACGAGCATTACATTGAAAGCATCTCGTAAAGGACCAGGGTCTCAATAAATGGTAGTTACTAATAGCATAATAATAACAATTATTGCAATTATTTACATGAAAACCACTTTCCCACAAATGTTAACAGTACTGAGAGTAAGTCTTCTGTCTGGTAGTACACAGTGAATAATTTGGTTTTATGATTTGAGTTTTAGATATGTTATTACAAGCACCAAGAAGAGACAACAAGCAAAGAAAGTTATGCCTACTAGATAACTTTTTGAGGAGCACCAAGATAAGAGATTAGGAGTACTAGATGAGGACCTGGGGATAAATTAATGTTTAAACTTAGAGAAACAGTTGGCACAGAAAGCAAGAAGAACATGGAAAGCAGCACAGCACTGTGGTTAAAAGTACTACCTAGCTGTGTGACCTTGAGTAAGTTACTTAATTTCTCTGTGCCTCAGTTTGTCCACCTGGAAGAAATGGAAACAATAACTCTACACAGGTGTGTTATGAAGAGTTACAGTTAATATTTATAAAGGGCTTAGGGCAATGCCTAGAACAGAGTAGGTACTATATAAGTGTTAAATAAACCAGAGGGGTGGTAACAATGGCTAGAGTTACATATAATGCCCTGTTAGGAAGTCTTTGGAGCAAAACTAGCCAAGTGGCCTTCTAAGGGTACAACCTGAAAAGCTCCCAAGCTCATTCATCCATTCAACAAATTGGGCCCCTCCTATGTACAAGCTGGGACACCTTGGTGGAGTACTGGTTAAGAGCTATGGCTGCTAACCAAAAGGTCAGCAGTTCCAATCCATCAGGCACTCCTTGGAAACTCTATGGGGCAGTTCTACTCAGTCCTATAGGGTCACTATGAGTTGGAATTGACTTGATGGCAGTAGGTTTGGTTTTTTTATGTACAAGGTAAAGTGTTATAGCTGTAAAGAGAGTTAATTCACATTTGAAATGATAAGGATGGACCAGAGGCTGAGGCAGAAAGGAGTCTTAACTGGGGGAGGGAGCAATGGAAGCATGTACATAGGCAATCTGAAACCCCTTCCTGTGGGCTTCCACAGCATTCTATAATTATTTCACAGCATACTATGTATCTGTTAATGGTATATAAGTGTCTCCCAGAGACCTAGCTCCCTGAGGACAGACTGAATCCTGTACACCACAGAATCCCCTTCCCGTAGCGCTCAGTAAGTATGTGTTGAATTAGAGCCAAAGTGGGCAAAGAGACTGGACCTGTAATTACTGAGCATGAGGTACTTGAGACCTAATTTTCTACACTCTATTTTCAACCCTCCATACTGCTCTAAACAGTTCAGTGTGGGAAGAGAGAGCTATGATCCCAAGCATGTGGCCCTTTGAGTGAAAACCTAGTCTTTTTCTGAAATAAACCAAACTAAATCATTGCTGTCAAGTCGGTTCCGACTCAGCATAGTGGCCTAAAATTACACAATGGCAAAATGGGCTAAGAAGCCTTCTGCTTAGGGATTTCCTCGAACCACTTTTCTCCGTGCATCCACAAATACCTTAAAGCTGGCACAAACAAAACTGAACTCACTGGCTTTACAAGAGCTGAATTCTTTCTCCACAGTCATCCGTCTACCAAATTCTTTCTGCGTTTTCCTTGAGAATCTCTCTCATATAGCCCTTCCACTAACCTCTCTACCATCACCTCACAAAAATCATACTTGGATCACCACTGTAGAGCCTCACTGTGATTCTGACTAAATATCATTGCAAGAAGCTTCCTATAATACAAGTTTCATCATGTATCTTCCCTGTTCAAGATTTAGGATCCCTATTTCTTACCATTACCTAATCTATTTTGGTTATCAAGATCCTGGATACTTTGGCCCTATCCTACCTACCCAAATATATTACCTACTTACTAAGGTCTGCATGTAAAATCCCCTATTCCATTTAGATTAGGGACTTCACAGCAGTAGTCAATGCAATTATTTCCTCATTTATACAATATTTAAAATGTTTACTTCTATAGCCATTTGCCCATGTGGTTTCTCTTTTTGGATTATCCTATTCTTTTCTGATTATTCAGATAGCTTTGGCTACTCAAGTACTAGCTCTTCCATTAGTACTCTATTCTAAGCCTCATGTATAAGTCATTGTTGTTGGATGCTGTTGAGTGGGTTCTGATTCATGGCGACCCTATGTGTTACAGAGTAGAACTGCTCCATAGGGTTTTCTTGGCTGTGATCTTAATGGAAGCAGATTGCCAGGGCTTTTCTTCTGTGGTACTGCTGGGTAGGTTCAAACTGCCAACCTAAAGGTTTGCAGTTAACTGCAAATATCAACATATCATTATATTATCTTGTGTTTTACTTTGTTTCCAGTGCTTATATACAACTGTTCCCTTCTCAACAGAAGTATAAATTCCTTGAAGGCAGAGAGTTTACTCTATTTTACTCATTTATCCAGCAAATATTCACTGAGCTCCAGCATTGTGCCAGGCTTTGGGGTTCAGCAATGAACATGACAGATCTTATAGCACCTACATTTTAGTGTTATGTGTTTGGGGAGAGAGGGGGTAAAAAAAATTCACACACAAAATTACATAATTAGAAACTGTGGTAAGCACCATGAAGAAAAAGCATAGTGAAGCTTCATATTGAAAGAAAATGTCCCTCAGCTGAGATCTAAAGTATAAAGCAGAAATAAACAGGCAAATGACCAAAGATTTGAAAAAAAAAGAAAACGCCTGGTACCCTAGAGGAAGAGAAAAAGGTTGGCATTGGTAAACTGCAGAGGACAGAAGATGAGCCTATTGAAGTAGAGACTGGGTATAGTTGCTCCGTACTAGAATCAATAAGTACTTGTTAAGTGAGGGTAAACTTTAGGTGGTCCATAGGAGTCATAATGAATGAAGACAGAGGGCATTTCTGTTGTCTAAATATTTAGAATTTTCAACAAATGCTGAACACACAGAGCTTAAAAAGCTGTTGATGTTGTTAGGTGCCGAAGAGTCAGTTCCAACTTACAGCGATCCTATGTACAACAGAACAAAACACTGCCCGGTCCTGTGCCATCCTCATAATCGTTGCTATGTTTAAGCACATTGTTGCAGCCACTAGGTCAATCCATCTTGTTGAGGGGCTTCCTCTTTTTCACTGACCCTCTACTTTACCAAGCATGATGTCCTTTTCCAGGGACTGGTCCCTCCTGATAATATGTCTGAAGTATGTGAGATGAAGGCTCACCATTTCTGCTTCTAAGTAGAATTCTGGCTGTACTTCTCCCAAAACAGATATTCTATATTCTTTGCCAATGCCATAATTCAAAAGCATCAATTATTCTTCGGTCTTCCTTATTTACTGTTCAGCTTTCCCATGCATATGAAGTGATTGAAAATACCATGACTTGGGTCAGGTGCACCTTAGTCCTCAAGGTGACATCTTTGCCAAACACAATACATTGTCTGATTTCTTGACTGCTGCTTTCATGGGCACTGATTGGGATCCAAGTAAAATGAAATCCTTGACAACTTCAATTTTTCTCTGTTTATCATGATGTTGTTTATTGGTCCAGTTGTGGGGGTTTTGTTTTCTTTATGTTGATGTGTAATCCATACTGAAGGCTGTAGTCTTTGATCTTCATCAGTAAATGCTTCAAGTCTTCTTCACTTTCAGCAAGCAAGGTTGCATATCACAGGTTGTTAATGAGTCTTCCTCCAATCCTGATGCTGCATTCTTCTTTATGTAGTCCAGCTTCTCGGATCATTTGCTCAGTCTACAGATTGAATAAGTATGGTGAAAGGATACAAGCCTGATGCACACCTTTCCTGATTTTAAACCAGGCAGTATTCCCTTGTTCTCTTTGAACAACTGTCTCCTGAGCTATGCACAGGTTCCACATGAGCACAATTAAGTGTTCTGGAATTCCCATTCTTCGCAATGTTCTCCATAATTTTTTATGATTCATACAGTTGAATGCCTTTGCATAGTCAATAAAACACAGGTAAACATCTTTCTGGTAGTCTCTGCTTTCAGCCAAGAGCCATCTGACATCAGCAATGATATCCCTCATTCCACATCCTCTTCTGAATCTGGCTTGAATTTCTGGCAGTTCCCTGCCGATGTACTACTGCAATCACTTTTGAATGATCTTCAGCAAAATTTTATTTGCAGGTAAAATATTAATATTAATGATACTGTTTGATAAATTTCCACATTCTGTTGGATCACCTTTCTTCGGAATGGGCACAAATATAGATCTCTTCCAGTTGGTTGGCTAGGTAGCTGTCTTCCAAATTTCTTGGCAAAGACAAGTGAGTGCTTCCAGTGCTTATGAAAAGCATCAGAATGCTCATTTTACTGATGCAAACATAACCAGTAAGGATGCAGTGAAGGAAATGGCCCTGAAAGGCTCATTTAAAAACAAAGATGGGAGGCTCTGCTGCTACTAGCATCAAATTTTTGTCTGTTTTCTAAAGGTCAATACAAAAGGCATGGACCAACGACAACTATGGTATAGACTGTGGTCCACTCCATATTACAAGTTAGATGCCAAAATGTTTTACATGGGCCACCTAACAGATGGTAATGTATTTCAGTCATTACCAATGTGAGCAGTATTCAAGCCAGTGACCCCACAGGTGAGAGGTTGTATATCCAAGTACAAATCCCACTTTCCTAAAGTGTTAAGATGCCTAAAGCAATATATTTTATTTACATCAAGATACACTGTATAAACTATATTTGATAAAAGCAATGACTTCACGTTCTCAAATCAAAGAATGCTTACTTAAGTACTTTTTTAATTGAATCAGGCTTTAATACCATCGTATAATCTTTTGGTTAACAGTGTTCATCTTGATTATTCTAACAAAGGGAAACACGGAAATTAATACTTAAGTTGTAGAGCTTATGTCATCTATAAGAATATACATTAAAAAGTTCAAAAGAGATACCTGGGACATCTGTGAAGGTTTCTCCAAGGACAGAGACGTGGAATTTGAGTCCTAGCTCCTTTAGACGCATTAATACCTTAAAAAAACTCTCTGGATCTTTATCATGCTCCCTAGAAATAAACACACAAAATATAACTTCTGTTACCTCAGGGCATGTATTAGAAAAAGTTTTTGATTCTCACAGTATCAAATTAAGGGACCCTGATGGCGTAGTGCTTAAGTGCTATGGCTGCCAACCAAATGGTTGGCAGTTCGAATCCACCAGCTGCTCCCTGGAAACCCTATGGGGCAGTTCTATTCTGTCCTATAGGGTTGCTATGAGCTGGAATCGACTCGACGGCAACAGATTTGATTTTTTTTTTGGTTTTAGTGCTGGCTGGAGGAGCTTCTGGCAGCCCAGCAGAGCTTTCTCCCTATAACCCGCACCAGCATTGAGTGGCTTCATGTCTACGCACTTCTCTCTCGTGATCAAAACCCAGGCCTACTGAAGTTTTAAGGCTCTGCAGCCATTTATTAAAGGAGAACTCTAACTTGTTTTCACATTTTAAGGTCAGATTACAGAACGTGCAGTGCATTTTCCTTTCTCCTTTAGGTTAAGTTTCCACTTAATGCAGGTTTTTAAAAAAGAAAAAGGACCAATCTTCAAAGGTTCACTCTCTACTGATCATGATAATGTACTAAAGATGCTCTTCATTTCCATGGGTCTGAATACCTCCCTCTCACATTTATTGAGCCCCTTTGTGGCCACAAGGAACTTACAATTTAGGGAGTGAGATTACACACCCTCTTACTAATCTCTCATTTAAAATAGATGAATGGAGAACTATAAATACATTAAAAGGGGGCAGACCTGAGTCTATGTCTGCTGACTATTAACTTAGGAGTGGAGGTTATTCAACACATGAAATAATAATAATAAAGATAATTCTTTCATTCAGTAAAGCTTTGAAAAGAATGGATTATTTTTTGTTTAGCTTGTCAGTCTTCTTTGTAATCACAGAATGAGAGGCTAAAGAACACTAAAATTAAAAAAAATTATCTAATTTAATAAACCACATTAAAATGGAATGAGTTATTTTTTACATTGTAAGGTGTGAATATTTCAGTATTTCTTGCATTTCATTACACTGTTTTAAATTATCTTATTTCAAGCAGATGTGGACCAGATGTCTTCAAAATATTTGTTTTTTTATTTATAATTCAGAATTTTAACTTTTTTATATTACAGAAAAATAGTTATATTGAACTGAATTTCTCATTTACCAACTAATTATGTAAAATAAATCTGTAAATTGATCAAACTGCTATATGAAATATGAAAATTACATCATTCAGGAAATCTCATGAAAAATGGCATCTGCAACCCTAAATGTGTTAATTCACAATTCCGTCAATATTTTCAGTAACAAGAATTAAAACAAATGCATCTTCTAATTAACATTTTAAAATTGCATTTATAATCTTATGAAATTGTAAGATCTTACAGAATTAGAGTTCTATAATTTATTTTAAGCTATCTCTCAGTTTGATTTATTTCAAATAACAAAGAAGGCAAAATCTTCATTGCTTTTTAATATGTATTACATACATGTACCACTGGCAAGTTTTTGGATAGTTCTCATATATACTACTGCTGTGGGCAAGAACAAAGACTCAAAACATTTTCAAAGTAAAGAATACACCATATGCTATCTTCAATCCTATCAATGAAATAACCACCACCTAATCTGTAAACTGTTCTTTTAGACTGATTTTTTAAAAAATTTATTGTGCTATAGGTGAAAGTTTAAGAACAAATTAATTTCTCATTCAAGAGTGTGTGCACATTGTTCCCTGTCATTGGTTTCAATCCCCGCAGTGAGTCAGCATTCTTCCTATTACCCTCCTGAGTTCCCCATTTCCATTGTCCAGCTCCTTCTGCTTCTCATCTTTTCTTTCGGGCAGACATTGCCCTTTTGGTCTCAGAGATGACTGTTCTAAGCAGCACTTTTGTCATGGGTGTTATTGTTTATTTTATACGCATGTTTATTATTTCGCTGAAAGGTGATCTCTGGGAATGGCTTCAGTCTCAAATTAGAAGGGTGTCTAAGGGCTATAGTCTTGGGGGTTCCTCCAGTTTCTCTCAGACCAGTAAATCTCATCTTTTTTATGAATTTAAATTTTGTTCTACATTTTTTTCCCACTCTAACTGGGACCTTCTATTGTGATCCTGGTCAGAGTGGTCAGTAGTGGTAGCCAGGCATCATCTAGTTCTTCTGGTCTCAGGCTAGTGGAGGTGGTGGTTCCTGTGGTCCGTTAGTCCTTTGGACTAATTGTTTCCTTGAGTCTTTGGTTTTCTTCACTCTCCTTTGCTCCGAATGGAAAGAGACCAATAGTTGTATCTTAAATGGCCGCTTGTAAGCTTTTAAGATCCCAGACGTTCGTCACCAAAGTAGGATGTAGAATGTCGTCTTTATAGTCTCATTCTCTTGGAAATACTTAGATGAAAAGAATGGCAACAATATAACATATCTTGAAGAGGAGTAACACTATAGGGGAATCTAATCTCTTAAAAAAACCATAAACCATAAACCTGTTGCTGTCAAGTTGATTCCAACTCATACGGACTCTGTTCTCTAAATTTTTCATTTTGAGTTCTAAAAATTTTGACTGTGGATCCCCAAGAAAATATCTATTCAAAATATTTCCTCCCCAATTTTTTTTGTATTAAAGTAAAAGTAGGTGTGGCTTGGAGTTGGGAGGAGGTTTGACAGGATAGGGGATGTAGTTCTTAAAAGATTCTAGTGCAAGTATTTTGAAAACAGTAGGCTTTATGAACATATATTTTCAGAGTTTCTATACAAGATAAATGCACTACAATCCTACTGTATTCTTTAGACATTTCTTATTGGTGGACAAAAGCTTTCATATTCAATGGTCACTTTGCATAAGAACACAAAGGAGATTTTGTGTGAATCCTCTCTCCTTTTGTTTAAACCATAATATATTGACAAAAATAAGGTGATATTTTACTTCCCCAAAATTATCCCTGAGAAAAAGAGGCATTTTATACTAAAGTTCTTATAAAGTCTCCCATAATACCAGGCACCTTCTCAGTTAAACTTTATTTTGGACAAAGTACTGTTGGGAAAGATGCATTAGCCTGAAACAATGTCAACTCGTGTAAGTT